ACAAAGTCAAGAAGGAAGTCCAAACTCTCTCTCATAGCAGATCAATTTAAATTCAGCAGTCTGCTTCTCAGCTCCTCCTCCTTTTCGGACACCTTTCGTTTTGGGGGGATAACCTTTTTCTTCATCATTTTCATTTAACCATACCCTATCATCATGTAGCTCGTCTTCTAATTCTTGATATTTTTCAAGAATTTCTCTATTCTAACTTCTAAGCCGTGAGGATCATAATCAGGTTCCTTTTTGAAAAGATTTTCCCACACACTTTTGTTATGGTTATTTGTTTTACTTCATCTCAACTCTTTGCCCAGTTAAAAATTGTACTTTTTATATTGTAGATTTTAATGCTGGAAACTCCTTTTTCTTCATTTTGTTCATCATCACTTTCTTCAAAAATTACAAGACTTTCTTCAAGTTGTTTCCACCTATAAAGTCATTTGCAGCTTAAAATCACACCTTGGATCATTGGCTGAATCAAAGTTGAAGTGTTATAAGGAAATAACATGCATTTTATTGGACCATCCTCACTAGTTAGTGATTCAGCAGAAGGGTGAGCTGGGGAATTGTTCAGAAGTAATAATGCCTTGACATCCTCTTCATCAACTCTTAGAACATGAAGTTGAAAATGCTGGACCTCAGGAACAAAGTTTTGAAAGAACCATTCAAAAAACAATTCTCTAGTGAACCAAGTGTCTTTACTAGGTTTATATATCACAGATAATGCACTTGTGTCCTCTTTCACACTTTTGGGAAGCTTTGATTTTGCCAATAATTACTGATTTTAATTTATGAGTTCCATCTGTATTTGCATATAAAAGGGCAGAAAACTGTTCTTTGTTTATTTTCCTCCCTGGCAGGCAGATATCTTTGCTATTTGCTGAGTATCTTCTGGTATTGACTTCCAAAAGAGGTCAGTCTCATCTCCACTGTACAGCTGAGCTAGATGTAGTTTCTCCTCTTTAATTATCATAGACAGTTTTTGTCTAAATGATTCAATGTGTTCTGAAGCTGAACTTAGGACTTTTTTTACACATACTTTTCAGTTTCCAATTGCATGCCTATTTGGAAATCTAAAAAGTCAAGCAGTGCTAGCTTTAAAGTCTGTTTGCCCAAAACACTGTGCAAATCTCTGCAGCAGCCTGAAGTTCCACACCTTTAATGAGGACACCAGCTGAGCATTTCTGTTGGTACCACATGAGACTGCATCATCGACATCTCCGTATTTGGCTCCCGTTGTCCTCTTTCTCTTCTCAGCTCCTAGTAATGGCATGTCCTGCTTCAGTACAAAGTCCAAAATCAATTTCCTATTCTTTTTAATGTCATAAAATGTTGATTTACTCATTCCAAATTCATCCATTACACTCTTAAGAGATGGTCCAGCTTTCAATCCTCCTTAGAACCTTCATTTTCTCCTCCAAATTCACTGTTGTATATTTCCCTTTCTTATTCATACTGAATTTGATTTCAAACAACCAATACAAATAAAAAGAGAAAAGCCTTACTGCATTAGGGAAAAAATGAAAAACAATAGAAAGCTACATTAAAGCCCCAGAAGGCACAGGCATTTTTGGTGGAAGGTAATGGACTGAAAAGGATAAGAGCTGATGATTGAAGTCTAGTCTAGAGGTAAAGAGTCTATGTACTCAGCTGCTGCCACCAAAGTCCTGCCTGGCTGTTGCAGTGCCACTGCCACTGCCACTGCAAATCAGTTTTCAGAACTCCACTGCTTCTTTCCATGTACAAATACAGCTGCCCCAGTGCCCACAAGAACAAACCCTGATGAAATTTAAAACAAAAAAAAAGTGACACTGAAAAAAGGGAATGTGGAAAAACTCAAAAGTTGTAACAGAGTTACTCTGTATAGCAGAAATTCACTGTGGCTTCTCCCCTTCTAAATAACCTGATTTTAACCCATTTTTCTAATGAAAAAAGTGCTCAGGTGGTTCTATACATAGCATTCACTGGGGACAATTCATCTACTTGGATAGACTCTTAAGTCTCAAGGATTTTGACACTGGAATAGCTGGAACTCCGGAACAGTTGTATAGAATCTTTAGGTGAAGGTGAAGGAAGGTTAGTAGGTTCTGCTGCACAAAGCTTTTACTGCGTTCAATATGACTTTCTCAGAGACTGAGCTTTAAACTTGAGTGTCTGTTATGTTGCCAAAGTAACCTGTAAATATGTAAATAATTTATTAATGGCACTTTCCCATACATATCTTCTCTCTTCTGTATATTTTATGAATTCTCAGGGATTTTTTCACTAAAATTTTCCTGTATTTGGGATATTATCAAGTTTCAGGATCATGGCAATTCCTTAGAGATAAGCCTCAAAGTTTTACAAATATTTTAACACAGTGAAAAAGATCTGTTCTTTGTTTTCCTAAATTTACAGCAGTATTCTAAATAACATATTTTTCATACTTGAGACATTGATTTCTCTTCAGTGTAGATTTTACTTGAGTCAAGACTCAACTACCTTAAAAAATTCAAAATGCCATTTATTCTACTTATGTTTCTGTTTAATTGTCTTCCATTAAGCCCTTTCGCTGGCAAACTCTTCTATAGTTTTGCACTCTCAAATATTTCTTCTAGGTTCTGCTGGTGCTACCCAAAGCCATTCCAGGTCTTTAGAAATGAACTACTCTAGATTATTTCATGTGGGAGCTGGGGATTTAGCTCAGCGGCATAAGCGCCTGCCTTGCAAGTGTGTGGTCATGAGTTCGATCCCCGGTACTGATAAGAAAAAGACAAAAAAAAATATTTTAGATTATTTCATGTGTTTCATTTCAGATACACAATTTTATGGGCAGAAACAACAACTGGCACTTTTATTCATTCCGGGTGATATGAAGAAAGAAAAATATGTCAAGAGAAAGAGGAAAAGGATTGCTATCTCAGTTAATTCTTCTGTTAGATCAGATCATGACTGTCCCATTCGTTTTCCAACCACAGTACATAGAATTCTCTCAGGTCTCTCATCTAAAAATGCAGAGTCAGGAAATTGAGTTATGGAGCACTAAAGCATCATGAAATAATGTCATACAGTATGTAGAGCCAATGTGGAGCCAGTGATGGCTAAGAAACTTTCTAATAGAGGCAGGTATATACAAGTCAATTATTAAGGAGTAACTATTATAAACGGGAAAAGAAAACACAGCACTTATTAGCCAGTAGCAGCACCATTAACCCTAGTCACTCAGAAAAACATTTGTTTCTTTTGTGTCAGTTGTGTGGGTATCTTCAAATTAACTCAATATATTTGCTTTGTTTCCTAGCTGTATGTTCATCATTTCTAAAATAGCGCCAAGCAAGGAGAGGTGAAATGTACAAGAAAGACTTGGGTAATTTTAGTGGGCTCCACAGGAAGGGAAAGAACTGTGGCACCAAACCTCATACAGTAAAAATCATCAGCGGCTCTCATACTATTCATCATTTATGCTTTGCTTCCTCTTCTTTTCACAGGCTCTCCTTCCTTTCTTGTCCCTTTAACAATTTCTTCCCCATATTATATTCAACCCTGCTATTAACATCTAAGGGCAGTCCTTGGCATTGCTGACAGAACTTTATGTATTCAATTTAATATTTTTTTTTGTACTGGGAATCAAACTCAGAACCTTGCATTTGCCAGGCAGGCACTTACGCCGATAAGCTATATTCCTGGTCCCAATTTTAAAAATTCTAACTATATATAAGCTCAGCATAGGCCAGGTGATGAGTATCTCAAGACAGGGGTATTACTGACCACTGGTTCTGAGGCTGGGAACTATAATCACTTAAAAACAGTAAATATCAACCTGACTGAGATTCCACAAGGAAATGAACCTTTTTTGACAGGTTCAAGTGACTCTAGGAAATTTTCATTATTATTGTCTATTTACTCTCACTTCAAAAGAATCATGATCTGTCTCAGAGAAGTATAATACTTTTCTGTCCCAAATCAAAAGTAGCATTAATGAATTTTCATATCATTTTCATCTTAAATTTGCCTAAGAACTGCCCTCAAAAGAAGTTCCATCCAGAACCTGCAAAAGGTGCTCCCGGAGTTATTTTCTTAAATAGTCTTCTCCAGGACAGTATCCAGGCAAGCTGATTTTTAAACCTCTTTAACTCTTTCAATGTAGCCCATTAAGTAGAAATGTACTACTGCTTTTACATTAAACTTTTTCCAGCTTTCAAATCTATGCTCTTATTCTTGCCTTGTGCCTGGCATATGTCTCCACACCCTGCTGTGGGTAAAATCTGTCAAGACCTTTTATAACTTCTCCAACGTAAATCAATTTTTATTTCTGTGGAGTTCTCATAGGATTCAGTATGTACTACTTTTTACTATCCTGTGTTATTTATGAAATTGCTTTAGTCCTTTAGATTACTTGAGGACAAAAGCGCAAAGTACATTTAACGAATAATCCCTGGACTGGGATAGCAGGCTGAAATTAAGAAAATTTGAAGGTCACCAAAACACTACGATTCATATACACAGTTCAGTACACATTTATGGAATGCCTACTCACTCAGGTTGATGGCTATCTTAGGGAACCATACCAGGAGCCCTACATTCCAGTTTAGCAGGTGTCACTGGTAACTCGTATGACCCTGAGCAAGTCATTTCCCAGATGTCAATTTCTGAGTCACGGAGAAATACAAATGGAACCTTCTTCACAAGTTAAAACCTACCTCACAGAAAACAAGTGAGAAAAGCACCATGCGAACCAGAAAGTGCACAACAGCCTCAGAGGTCCTGCCTGATCTAGCAGCGGCCTCGCCAGGCACGAAACGGCCTCTCCCTTGAGGAGGCTCCAAGGAGCCTCCACGGTCCGGGATACCAGCCGCCCTATTGCGACGCGGACACTAGTGAGACACGAGACGGCGACGCCAAGCGGCGGGACAGCAAACTGGGTCAGGCTAACTCTCCGCCCCAGGAGCTGGTGGGTGTTCCCAGCAGGACGGGAACGCAGGCTGTGACGCAGTCGCGTTGGCTTCTCACCAGAGTAAGGGGCGGGACCGCACGAAGACCTGCACGCATCACTTCCGCTTCCCGTTGCGCGAGCGCGCTCCAGACTTCTATGGAAGAGTGGGTGGGTGTTTCGCTGAGACAGGTTGTCGGTGGGTGGTGCAAGACGTTGTGTCACCCATCCTTGGGCTCCACTTGCTGGCCCGGCTTACAGTGACGCGGGCCTAGAGCTGCTCTCGTGAGAGCGGCGTCTGGCCGGGCGGTGGCTGGCATTTGAGCCCGAGAAAGCAGGAAGCGGCCTTTTGGGAGCCCAGCTGTCTGAGGTAACAGAGAAGCTGCTTCCCTTAGGCGGCCGCTGCGAGGCGGGCGGGCGACGGGAGGCAGTCCTGTTCTCTAGACAGTGGCGTTTCGGTCCCTGTTCTGGAGCTTGACAGACTGGAGCGAGGCCTTCGTGTAGCACCAGAAGCCACGTTCTGTACCATTTGCGCAAGTTCAGCGGGTGGCAGCGATGGACGCTCACTCAGACCCTGCCTGCCTGCACCGTGTCCACCGTGAAGCGGTCACAACGTCTACCGCTGCACCCAGAGAAGCTTTCCCGTCTTCAGTGACCATTTAGCCTCCAGCCAGTGTTGCCACGGAAGGAGGGATCAGTGCAGCTTCTGGGGGTAGGGATTAAGCCCACTGGTAGGATGCTTTGCCCAGCGAATGAGCGGCCTGCGTCCAGCCCCACATGTACAAAAAAAAGGAGCAAGTTCTGCTGATGCAAAAACAGGAAGAGTCCCCTTTGCCTCCAGAGCAGAAAAGACAAAAAGGACTGTGCCATTTCTCTGAATATCTGTGGCATCCTGGGCAGAATTTGGTTTATTTCAAGCAAAGGGAGGCTCACAAAGCTCTACTTAGCCTCATTTACAGGTCTAAAAGACCCTTGAAGGAATATAAAACAGGCAAAAGGATTACTTTAATTATCACGAGCTCCCTTTTGGCAGTGCAGCCCAGCGGTGGAGTGCTTGCATAAGCGAGTTCTTCAAAGCCCTCTGTTTGAACCCCAGGACAGAAGCGGAAGTAGGGGGACAAGACCAGAAACACCAACTTCCCTTTCTCATTTAAAACAAAATTCGACACGATGTGATTCTTTTTCTAGGTAGGTTAATTTAAAATTGTAGGTAAATCTGCAAAGAATGATGAGCCCTAGTTGCTTAACAGGGAAATGCTTTTTGAGAACAACATGGCTTTGTCCCTAATTATTTACCTTCTGCTTTGGTGTTACCACCTCACCACTCCTGCCACTGTTCCATGATGAGATGTTCCATGAAGGGAAGTTCTTTTTTGTGTTTTGGTGGTTTGTGTGTGTGTGTGTGTGTGTGTGTGTGTGTTTTGGTTTTTTTGATTGTGTTTGTTTGTACTGTATAGTACAAGCTGGCCTTGGACTCACTTATGTAAACCCAGGCTCGCCTCAAACTCAGGCAGTCCTCCTGCTTAGGCCTCCCAAGTGCTGGAATTACAAGCATGTACCACCACACCTGGCCAAAGAGAAGGTTCTATCTTCACATATAGATGAAGCCTGGTAGAAGCTGTACTCTTTCTTAAAGACTGAAATTTAAGAGAAACTCACAATCTTCTCCTACTCTTATTTCCTTGTATTCTTATATTGTGGAAAAAGTAAGATAGGAAGCACATCATTAAGTCTGGATACTCACAAAACTTTTAGCTGTAGTAGTTACTAATTTCGCAGCTACCAATCTTTCCTGAATTATAAAAGTATAACAGTAGCCAGAGAGGTTTTTTTTTTTTTTTAATCTAAATTTTACCAGATTTGTGAATGGTTCCTTGTGGATATCATTGTTCTCAAAGCAGTGTTATCAGTTGACTTCTTGTCTTCTCTGAGCTGTTTTGAACTTTGAGTACTATACCAAGAGAACAGGCTTGACAATTAATTTAAAAGGCAAAATGAGACAAGACCTTTTCTGTTCAGTTTTCTCCCATAATAAATAATTGGTATTAGGCTCATGTGAATTTCTTGCTGATACGAACTTTTTTCCTGCTCTGCCCTTAGGAAGAAGATATTTTTAATTTGTACTCGACCAGTTGGGGTCTCAGTTGTCAAAGGTGGCAGCAGTGAGGTGTCAGACACAGGAGCAAAACTGTTGCTAGAGCAGAATGGTGATGGTCCGTCTGAAGGTGGTTGAGCATTTGGACTCTCATATCAGGGCCCTGTGGGATACTAAGGAACCTGTTACAGAAGGCTCTGGTCAAAATCCAAAGTCTCCACAGACAGACAGTCTTGATCCCAAGAGTTCTTGCTGGTACTTCCGGAACTTCCATTATCACAAAGCAGCTGGACCTCGTGAGGCTGTCAGCCAACTCCAGGAATTATGCAATCTATGGCTGAGACCTGAGATCCACTCAAAAGAGCAAATCTTGGAACTTCTGGTACTAGAGCAATTCCTGACCATCCTGCCAAGGGAGACACAGACTCAGATGCAGAAGCACCATCCACAAAGCATTGAGGAGGCTGTTGCACTGGTAGAACACTTGCAGAGGGAATCTGGTCAAACGAGGAATGGGGTGAGAAGAAAGGTTCCTGAAATCGGGGCTGGGGATTTAGCTCAGCGGCATAAGTACCTGCCTTGCAAGCAGGCGGTCATGAGTTCGATCCCCGGTACCAATAAAAATGAAAAAGACAAAAAAAAAAAAAAAAAAAAAAAAAAGAAAAGAAAGATTCCTGAAATGTACAGTGAAATAGAATGAAGGTGGATATAATGGGGGTGGGAGCAATTATTTGAGAAATTATGAATTAGGTCACATCTGTTGTTTCTTTAAGATAGTTAAAGTGGGATTTGTAACCTTAAGCTCACAAGAAAAGTCAATCCACTAAATCTAGAGATTATGGCAGAGACTTCTCTTGCTTCAGAGAAAAAGAGCTGAGTTTTGCTTTTGGAACCATAGTGAACTGATGTCTTAACTAAAGAGACAGAACCTGAATTCTTAGAATACAAGGTATATATAGGGGATTAGGGCAGATCCAAAATAGAACACTTACGACCAAAGGAGAGCGAAAAAGAGGAGTCAACTAGGCAAAGACCACAAGGGAAAAGGAAAAATGGAAACATTTGAAAAGGAAAATCCTAACCAGTAGCTGTGAGACAACTGAGAGATTGGATCCTCTCTGTAGCAAATAAGCTTCCATGGCTGTCTCAATGTTTGGTCCTTGGCTTTGCTGATGAGTGAAGAGCCAAGGTATGCTGTTAGGCAGGTGTCAAACATCTACCGGCCTCAGACCTACCATAAAGAATACAGGGCATACAGGGTGTAGTGGTGCACGCCTGTAATTCCAGCACTTTGAAGGCTGGAGGGTTACTGCGAGTTTGAGACCAGCCTGGGCTACAAAGTAATCTCAAGGCCAGCCTGAACTGCATAGTGAGACCCTGACTCAAAAAAAAAAAAAAAAGACTATAGGGCAGGACATAAGTTTGGTGTCAAATCATTCGGAGATAGGTTGGAACCACTCTTCCTCTTGTTTGTTCTGTCTCCATTCTCTACGAAAACCTTCCCTGACCATAGGAAAATCTGACCAACAGGAAAATTTTTATTGCATATCTTAATTTTTTTAAAGAGAAGATGACAAAATAGAAAACCACTAAAGGATTTAAATCAAGAGAAAACGCCATACTAGGCAATATAATACAGAAGGTGGTGGTGGCGTGGGTTGAACTCTGAATGTAGATGGGACTTTGTGTTGAGAGTATAGCAGTAGCCAGAGAGTTTTTTTTTTTTTAATCTAAATTTTACCAGATTTGTGGATGGTTCTTTGTGGATATCATTGTTCTAGCCTTTCTCTCTCTCTGTCTCTTTTTCTTAATGATAGTGAGGTTTTACATTTACTAAAGGTAGGAAAAGAAACATGCTTTGCAGAGCAATTTTAAGCCAACTAAAAGTGGGGAAAACATGTACTTTGCAGAGTGAGAGCAGACCCATCATGAAAGAGACAGCCAATGTCTCTTTTTCTTTCTTTCTTTCTTTTTTTTTTCAATCGAACTCACATCTTGGCAGCTGCCAGGCAACTGCTTATGCTGCTAAGCTAAATCCCCACCCCTCAGCCAATGTCTCTTTAAGTTCTTTTGCCACCTTTGGTCTCACACCTCCTACAGTTTGGGATGTACATGTGTCCCTCCCCCTGCCTATACCTCTCACCAAAATAAGTTCTGTGGTAACAAGGATGGGGGTTATTTCTAGGTTACAGTCCATGAGCTGGGAAAGGAAACATTGTTGGAAGGAACAGCAGAGGCCCCAGGTTTCAGGCTTAACCCAACAGAGTCCCAGACAGAGGGCATATCCCAGGATAAAGAATTTTGGAATACATACCAGGGGCGACAAGAACAGCTGAACAAGAGTACACCTAAGGAAACTGAACCTGTAAATAAGACAGGTAAGGAGCTTCTGGGCCAGTTAATTTTCTTTTGGGAACCCAACTATGCTTTGTTTGGCCAACATGTCTTGGTCATTTTCTATGTATCCAACACTGGGGATTTGTAAATACAATGTCTCCTTAGGCAGTAATAGAATTCAAGTATAAGTAAATGTGGGTGTTAGCCTATGAACCAGACCACAGAACCTTGGAAATAGCACTATGAACTCCTTTCCTTAGATAAAGAGAGGAGGAAAAGAAAGGAAGTTTTGGGGTAGTTTCATCCTCAAAATAAAGAAGGATTGGAATCAGAAATGGGCTGTTAGAAAAAAAATAGGCTAATAGTGGCAGGAAAAATAATAAAAGTAATAACTAGGTTTTGTCTAACTTAGAATTTATATCAGAGAAAAATTAAAAGGGGTTTTACTTCTCATGACAACTAAGGAAAAAATCAGCTGGGGAAATGGTTTTAAGGGCTTGTAAGTACTTGGTTCTTTTCTGTGAAAAAGTCACTTCTGACATGATACATACAGGACTTGTAAAAGTGTCCCATCTCTACTGACTGAATCAGAATCTGCATTTTAGAAATGAGCAATTTCCTTTGGCTGTTTTCCACTCATAGATGAACCTGCTCAACGGATTCTATCCTTTCCTGAGCAGACAACTACCAAAGACTGGACTTCGATACCTGAACTTACCTTGCCTGAGTCCCAGGTGAGCTGTACTTGCCAGCTGTTTAGAGCTGTCTTTTCTGCTGGCTATGATTCATACTACCTAAAGGAAGCTCAGAGGCATGTTAGACTTAATCTCTCCTGGGGAATTGGCTTCCTCCTGGGCTATATGCTGATTCCTTAGGGCCTTTCTGCCTCTTTTTAAAACACAGTTATGTATTCTTAATGATGGGAATATTTCTAAAAATGTGTCATTAGCTATTTTGTCATTGTATAAACATAGGTTGTACTTAAACAAACCTAGGTGATGTCAGTCACTTGATCTTTTAATGCAGTCTAGAGACAGAGTAAATAGAAGGTGTATATGGTTGCTACTGTCATAAGATGGACATCGGGTTCTGTAGTAAACTTCTTTTTTTAAAGTAGAAATATACTTTAAAATAATTAAAATATGGTACAGTAAATATTTAAACTAGGAAGTTATTAAATACTAAGTACAGTACACATGCTATACTTCTGTGCAAATAGCAGTACAGTAGATTTGTTTACACCAGCATCACCACAAACAGGAAAAACACTAAGTAATAAATATTTTCTAGCTCTGTTATAATCTTTTGGAACTACTGTTCTATATGTGTCCCTTCTTAACCAAAATATCCTTACAATAGTAAATATCTGTAATCATGTGTTATTCTTTGAGAGCTGGATATGGTGGTGCATGCCTATAATCACAGCACTCAGGAGGCTGAGGCAGGAGGATTGCCAAGAGTTTGAGGCCAGCCTGGGCTACATAGTGAGTTCAAGGTCAGCCTGAACTACACAGTGATACCCTGTCTCACAACATAAAGAAATAAAAAAATTCTTTTAGTGCCTGGCTTATCTTATAGTTCTCAGCCAGATGATTAAGCTGGCACTAGAGGCAGGTCCCAAACTAAGTCCATTTTCTTCCTCAGAGTTTGTTGACATTTGAAGAAGTGGCTATGTATTTTTCCCAGGAAGAATGGGAGTTACTGGATACCACTCAGAAGGCTCTCTACAATGATGTAATGCAGGAAAACTATGAGAATGTCATCTCTGTAGGTAAAGATTTTCCTTGCCTTGTTTTTGTAGTATTGGGTTTTTGTTTTTGTTTTGTTTTCTTTCTTTTTGAGACAGGGTTTTGCTATGTAGTTCAGGCTGGCCTTGAACTCACTGTGTAGGCCAAGTTGGTGAACCTCCTTAGTCAGCCTCCTGAATGATAGGATTATGAGCCTGCACTGTAATGTCTAGCTTCCTTCCCTTTGTGTAGAAGTTCAGTGATGTGTTGCATTTTTCGCTTACTGAGAATGAAATCCTATGAGCCTGATGCTTTCTGTAGCTGATTGACTCTTATCTAGCTCACCGGTATGAGGAAAGGGAAATGGATATCCAGATCATGTGGGGTTTTATTCACAAACATAAATGATTATTTCTTATCCTACATGAAATTCGTCATCCATTCTCCTTCCAAAGCTACTCTTCAATGTCTTTACTCAGCAAGACACCTTTACTCCCCAGTTACTCAGGGCAGAAAATGTACGGGCATCCTTTAATCTCACCTTCATAGCCTACTAGTAGCCCATTAGCAACTTTTCTTAGCTCCACTTTTCCATAGAGCTTTTTATTTTCCTCCTTGGTGGTATAGGGAAATCAAACTCAGGACCTTGTGCTTGCGTGGCAAGTGCTGTGCCACTGAGCCATATCCCCAACCCCTTCCCATATATCTTGAGTCTCGCAATGACTCAGCCCTTTGAATCGTTAGCATCCTAGTCTAAGCCAGCATCATCTTGAACTAAATAGCTTTCTGACATCCTGCCTGTACCCTTGTCTTCCCAGTTTACTTACCATAGAGAAACCAGAATTCTAAAGGAAAACCTCGTAAGACTTCTTCGCTTCAAAATCACTTCCCTATAGTAATTTCCTAAATTCAGAAAAAAATTCAGATTCCTTACATTATGACCCTCTTTGATCTGGCGCTGTGTCCTGCTTTTTGTACCCTGCTCTGGTTTTCTTGCTGTTTATTGACATTGCTGTGCTTATTTTGCTTTCCTCTCCCTGACTGGTACCCTTTTCTGTCACATAATAGAAAACTTGTTTTTAGGTTTCTTGTCAAATACTACTTTCTCAAAAGAATTACATATAGTCTTATCTAAAATAGGCTTTCAGGTCAGGGAGTTAGTTCAATGGCCTAAATGCCTACCTGGCAAGCACAAGGTTGTGAGTTCAATCCCTGGTACCCCAAAAAATAGGCTTTCAGAATTAAAATCTTAGAATTATTTTTACTATCTTTAGTTTTCTTCAAAGCATAATTTCCTGAAATCATTTTATTGACAGATTGACTCACTATACCAATAGAATGTAAACTTCATAAAATCAGGGGACTATGACTTCGTTACCTGTATATTTCCACCTCATTGAGCAATGCCTAATACATCCTAGTCACTTGTATGTATGTATGTATGTATGTATGTATATATATATATGTATGTATGTATGGTATTGAGAATTTAAGGTCTTTTGTTTGCTAAGAATGTGATGTACTATTGAGTTATATCCCTGACCTTAATAAAGTTTTACTAAATCAGTGAGTAATAGATCTTGCCGCGCTGGACAGCCCGTTTAGAAATGATCCGCCACCTCCTACATTCCTCTATTTGGATGTGAAATTGAATGTAAGAGGGATAGAAATCTGTCCTAGTCCAGGACCAGATACTAAATAAATACAAGCTAAGTAAGCAACTAATTACGACAGTAATCAGTTATGCATGTGATACCTAAGTTGTCCATGATAGTAGCTCAGCTATACCTAGTCATAGGCAGAATGAATCCTCTTAGGAGTTACTGACCAGCCTGTCTTTCTCACAACCTCTGCAACTTTGTTTTTTCCCTTAATATGGGTTATTCTTAGTGACAGAAAGGAGGAATGTTCACTGGGCTGACATTCCCTATATCATTTTCATTGATCCACCTTGGAGATTATTTCTCTGCTTCGCATGTTCACCCATGAATACAATATAATAAAAATATAATACAGGATCCGGAAATCTGTTCATTTCATCATTTGGGTAACAAACTGTAAAAGTATCTTTTATTCTTCCTGAATATGCTGAAATTAGTAGGACTGATAAGTTGTAATCTTTGATCTAATTTTTCTTTTTTATTTCACAGCATTATTTGGGTTCCCCAAACCTAAAGTGATCTCCTGTCTTGAACAAGGGGAAGAGCCGTGGGTTCAAGGATCCTTGGATTTCAAAGACAGTCCCAGAGAGTTGCCTACAGGTAAATATACTATTGGAAGAGGAGACATGTGCCTTGTTGCAAACCTTTACAAGGACTTACATTTTAAGATTTTGTTCTGGTGGGTGGTGGTGGTTGTATCTGTGTATGTGGGCATCACTTAGGGGCCTTGAACCTGGGGCTTGTACTTGCTAGGCAAGTGCTATATAACTGAGTTACTTCCCCAGCCAGTTTAGTTTTATTGTGAGACAAAATCTTGCTTCCCAGGCTTGCCTCAAATCTGTGATCCTTGCACCTCAACCTCTCAAGTAGCTGGGATTACATGTCTTCGTTATCACACCTGCCTTCCTCTCTTTCTTTCTTTCTTTTTTTTTAAAGTTAATTATCATTGAATTTTCCTTTCCATTCCCATAGTTCTGTTGTTCTGGGATACATATAGCTGATTATTATGTTTATTCCAACAGAGTTAAAGCTAAGAAATGACACTGAAAATCATCAGTCTGTATCCCTTTCTGCCTCAGAAATACATGCACCAAGAGTCATGGTATTAAAAAAGGCCAAAGTGAATGTTCCTCAGCAAACAACAAGCAAAGAAAATCATAGTGATATGCACAGAATGGGGAAATGGCACAGAGATTTTCTAGTAAAAAAAAGAAAGAAACTTTCAACATGGAAACAAGAGTTGCTGAAACTTATGGATCTTCACAAGAAAGACCGAATAGGAGAAAAGCCTTTTAAATGCCAGGAATGTGGGAAAAGCTTCAGAGTTAGCTCTGACCTTATTAAGCACCAAAGAATTCACACTGAAGAGAAACCATATAAGTGTCCACAGTGTGATAAGAGATTTAGATGGAGTTCAGATCTTAATAAGCACTTAACAACACACCAAGGAATAAAACCATATAAATGTTCATGGTGTGGGAAAAGCTTCAGTCAAAATACAAATCTTCACACACACCAAAGAACTCACACAGGAGAGAAGCCCTTTACCTGTCATGAATGTGGGAAAAAATTCAGTCAAAACTCTCATCTTATTAAACACCGAAGAACCCACACAGGTGAGCAGCCATACAGCTGTGGTGTATGCAAGAGAAACTTCAGCAGGCGATCAAGCCTTCTTAGACATCAGAAAATCCACCGATGAAGGAAATTATGTCCAAAGTCCTCATTCAAAAGAAACTCAGCAAGTAGAGCTTTATAGTGAAGCTGAAAACATCCAGAATTATGAGGCATAAAGAATTTTTCATCACTGGAAAATTTGGGGATGTAATGTTTCACAGAAAGGAATCAAGATTTTATGTTAGGGGTATGTTCACTGTACTACTTTATATTTTTACTTTTAGCTGTCAGGGAGTTACTTAGCAAGAAAGATGTTCTAAGACAGTGTGGCATACTTACAGCACACATGCTGTAATGGGCTGTTCGTTTTCTTTGTTGTCCTAAAAGGTTCATCACTATTCTAGAAGCATTCTGAATAAGGGAAAGACTGTTTTAGGATTATAGTTTGAAGAATAGTAATTTCAATTTCAAGTTGTAGATGCAGCCAATGAGTGTTTTGTTAGGAGTAAATATGATTGCTTTTGCACTGATCTTCCCACTTTGGAATGTACATAATAGGAATATTTATAGTCTTCAAGACAAAAAAATATGTATGTTTAATTGCAAACTATTATCTTCAGAATATTAGGCTTCCCAATTTCAGTAATCTTTGCTGGACAGAGATGTATTCTCCTAGAAAGTTTTCCAGCAGCTGAATTGGGTTTTTTCTTACTTTTCTCTTTGGACACGTGTTTACAAAGTTGGATATCATTTGAGTTCCTTCTTGAACTTTTTAGCAATTTGAGCTCTTGAATCCTATTAACATAATTTTTACTGTGATGAAAAATTTATTTTACCACTAGGTAATCTGCCAAATGAACTAATAATGCACTATTTTATGCCACATTGGTAGTGTTTGGGAAATGCAGGACATCTCTAATGAGATCATACAGAAACGGGTTGGAATTTGTAGCCATGATTATATATTAATGTAAGAATTTTCTGCAATAAAAGAAACTAGATTTTTTTTAAACCTCAAAATGTCAGTAAGGTGCAGCAGCCATAAATTTTAACACTTACCCAAGGCATGAAAGAAAATTTATGAGTGGTTAGGTTCAACTTCCTATGATTTTTGTTTACTTTTTAATTTGGCTTTTGTTTACCATTAAGGATGAGAATTATATTTGTATGAAAACTGCAATGTGTATACTGCAGGCAGGATTCTGTTGTTACTTAGCATGGATACTGAGCATCTAGTCAGGAGATTGAATTCTTAAAAGGAAAAGTTTGGGAACTGATGGTGGATATTAAGCAAAGATAGGCAAATCAACATCTGTGTTTTGTCTTAAAATGAAAACAGCCTGAATCTATCTTTTCTGTGTAGGACAGTATTTTTTTTTTTTTTTTGTCTTTCTCCTTTTTATCGGTACTGGGGATTGAACTCATGACTGCCTGCTTGCAAGGCAGGCGCTTATGCCGCTGAGCTAAATCCCCAGCCCCTAGGACAGTATTTATAGCAATCTTGGGTGATAAATTTGTGAAGATTGCTGATAGTCTGTAATATATGGGTTTTCTTACAATTCAGCTGTTCAGCTACAGTGACTCGGGCATTTTACAATTTGGGATTTGGGGTATACTAGGAGAGAGATTAAAGAAATTATTTCTCCCAAGTCATTTGTAAATGAAGTTGAGGCTTAGAGAGTTTCGTGGACATCCCCAGGCTCCATTACTAGCGGACCCATTAGCTATCGCATGGTTTCATCTGTCAGGTATAAAGGCAGGATTAGTGGGACCAGTTTGTTTTGTTATGCCTGTATAACCAGAATGAATAACGTTGTGTTGTATCTAATTCTAGCTTTAAAATATTCTTGTTTCTTGATTGGTTCCTATTTTTCCTGAAAGTCTTCATTTCCTTTATAAAATAGAGATAATCTTCAACTTGGTTTTATTCTGGGGATTTGATGGACTACTGAAAGTGGAGCACCTAAAACAGTCTGCTTCATAGTAGATGCATACTCTATATGTGTGCTTTCCCTTTTCCTTTCTTCTCAGTGATAAATTGGGTGAGTTGACTGCAATAGAAAACCAAATGTGTATGTAGTTATTACAGTTCCAGTCCAGAGTTGAGCACTTGTGGTGGTTATGCTGCACTGACTTGATCCTTGGTTTTGATGCTTTATAGTGTTTGTCACAGAAACCCCCTCAACTAGTGGTCTGAAATGCTCAACAATTGTATTTGATAAACTATATGGAATATTTTTTTAAGCCTAGCTAATACAGGTACATGTAGCAGACTCTCAGCTGTAGATCTTTGTATTCTATCTCTTCTCATAGGACATAAATAGATTTCTTCCTGACACTATCTTCACTCAATTAATAGGAGGTTCTATTGTGTTTCCGCCACTGTACTAGACTGTAGCCACAGCAAATAAGAGAGACAGAAACACATTCTTTAACAGTTGATGTCCTAGGGAACAGAAGAAAAGAGCTAAAAAGGAAAATAGTTGTTTTCCTTGCTGTTTGCAGTAAGACTGGGTCATGAGATAGTTTTTGTTAGTGGGCTGTAAGTAGAAGCCTCTCTTTTGGGCTGAAGATGTATAGTGCAAGGCTCCTTTCCTGTCTCATTCGTGGAAACATACAGAGTAGCCATGATGTAAACAGTTGGGATTGTTGAGTCCCCACTTAAAGGGCATCTGTTGCAGAGTCCCCAGACCTATAATGGACTTTATGGGAATGAGAAATAAATGCTATATCAAATCATGGAGACCCTGGCACTGTGTGTTTCTGGACTATTTCTTCTTTTTTTTTTTTTTCTGAGACAGAGTCTCGTTATGCAGTTCAGGCTGGCCTTGAGCTCACTTTGTAGCCCAGGTTAGTCTCGAACTCCCAGCGATCCTCCTGCCTCAGCCTCCCAAGTGCTGGGATTGCAGGTGTGAGCCACCATGCCACACCTGGCCCCTTTTTTTTTTTTTTATTGGTACCAGGGATCGAACTCGCGACCACCTGCTTGCAAGGCAGGTACTTATGCCGCTGAGCTAAATCCCCAGCCCCTGGACTATTTCAGTAGCTTAGATGAGGCCAGCTGAAGGTGGCTACAGTTCTGGAGCTTAGGAAATTTTTCTTTTTCATTCCACCTGGGCTTTGGCTCTCAGCTGAGATCTGGCTTCACCTGGGCACTTGACTGAACTGGAAACACTTAGGAGCTCACAAGCCTGGGTCCCTTGTTTTGCTGTATCCCAGTATGTCATATGCAGGCATTTTTATTGAGGTTTGGGTGAGGGAGGGTAAGTGATGCTTTCCATTCCTCAGTGCAGATTTTGTAACTGCCTCTGTCATGCCTTCTGTGAGTCATGCCTTGCAAAACATCAAGGCATAGGGCAAAAGCAAATTTATCTGGTTTGGCTAAGAGAGGAAAGAGGCTGCTCTACCTGAGCTAAAAGGTGACATCTGGGGAAAAGTTTAGGCAGGCAAACAGGAGTAGGACAGTTTTAGTACCCAAGTGAGACACCTCATTAGGGAAGTCCTGACTTAGGCAGTGAGTAACTTTACATTCTTACAATGTCATTTGCATGGAATTTGGAAGAAGAAATTTCCAAAACTCTGTTACAGGAATAAGAAAAAAAATTACTAAAAACAAAATAGAAAAAAAAAAACCCTCTAAACAACCTCTAGTACAAACCAGAAGGTTGCTTTGTTGTAGCTTGTTTAGATGATAGCAGTCTTACAGTGACTCCAGTGTAATTTCTAAGAAGTTTATTACTGTCCCAATCTAGACTGCCCTGCTGTTGTACTGGTCAAAGTGACCAACAGACTTGGTCTATTCCAGATCTACACCTAGGATTTTCTTGCCATGAAACAGACTTTGGAACCTCAAGCTGATCATGAGAAACTCAGAAATCTTTTAACTAAATTGGAAGAACAAGAGAACTTAGAATCAAATCTAAACTAAAACTACTAGGGGTTTTTTTGTTGTTTTGTTTTGTCTTATTGAGTTAGGGTTTCACTATGCAGTTCAGGCCGGGCCTTGAACTCACAGTGATCCTCCTGCATCAGCCTCCTGAGTGCTGGGATTACAGGTATACACCTCCATGCCTAGCTCTCCTAGAGTTTCCATCAGCTATTGGAATAAATGAGAATAGTATTTAATTTCCCTGGAGAGTTTGAGAGTACAAATGCCAAACATCCTTTATATCCAGATGGATAGTTGGTATAACAAAACATTGAACTCAGGGGCTGGGGATTTAGCTCAGTGGCATAAGCACCTGCCTTGCAAGCAGGTGGTCATGAGTTTAATCCCTGGTATCAATTTTTTAAAAAAATCCCATACAAAACACTGAACTCCATAAAAGATTTTCCAAACATGCATTGAGTCACTCTGCTAATGTTTATTGAACTCCTGTTCTTCCAGTCAGTTCTTACTTGTGTAATGAATTAGGCTGCCTCCATGATTCTTTTGGGGACTTCCTAGTGCATAGAGTGTATTAATTGCTGAAGCTTTCCCAGTGTGAACCAGGTTCTTTCCCTTTGAAGTGGGAAGTGTTGAACATTGCCCCTACCATTTTTCTAGGTTTTTTTGTTTTTCCCCTCAGTAAGATTCCATAAATACTGCTATAGTTTGGATCTTGACTATCCCCCAAAGACCCATGTGTTACTAAAGGCTTGCTTCTCAACTTGGTGCTATTTGGGAGGTTTGGGGGCTGTTGGGGATATATCCTTGGAGAGTGTAATAGAACTCCAACAACTTCCTCTTATTCTTTGGCCATAATGAAAGCAACTTTGCCCCACCCTGTGCCCCCACCATGATGTGTTACCTAACCACAGGCTGGGATTTAGCTTAGTGGCATAAGTGCCTACCTGGCAAGCACGAGGTCATGAGTTCGATCCCCATTACTGCAAAAAAAAAAAAAAAAAAAAAAAAAAAAAAAAAAAAAAAGACGCAGTCAGACAGTCATGGACTAGAACCTTTCTCTTTATAAATTGATTATCTCAGGTATTTGTTATAATAATAGCTAACAGATACATAAACCATATTTTTGTCAACTGAAACTTTTCTACATTTGTGACCTTTTTGGAAATGAAGTAGGCTGTTATCCAAAAAGTCACACAATTTATCATTTAGAGTCTGCCTAATAAAACAGTACTCAAAAAAAATCCAGTACTCCAGAATGCTTTTTAGAATTGTTTCCATTTGAGGATCAGAGAATTTAAAAATGTAATAATCACAGACACAACTTCATACAGTGATACAGATAACACTGTATGCAAGAAGCACTGTGACTTTTGAGAGACAATCTCACCGTGTACTTAAAACTGTCTTTTACTCACTAGATAATCCAGAGTACCCTTGAACTCACTATGTAGCCCTGGATAGCCTTGAGCTCGCAGTGAATCTCATGTCTCAGCCTCCTTAGTGCTTGGATTACAGGCATGCATTACCATACCCAGCTTTGTCATGACTTTTGCGAGTATTTCTTTGTGACTATTCCTTAGAAAAGGACCCAACTTTAGAAGTATACAGCTCAAAGAGAAACCCTGAGGGATCTTCTTGCCCTAGAAGTAGACTGGGGTTTTGAGCTTTGCTAGGAAGTGCATATCCAGCTTCTTATCCAGGCTGCCAGCTGCATCAACTATCAAACCATTCACTCCTTCTTACATCTTTAGGTCCCATCAGTTTCTGCTTGTATTGTTTAACCAGCTGGCTGAAGTGAGCTTCTGTCTTACTTCTCTAAGTTTTTTCCCCTAGGAAGTGGCTTGGAAGACAACTGCTGTTTTCTTACATCACTTTGTCTGGGGTTTGGTTTCTTCACTTTGCCTTTGGCTCATAACCTAACTTTGGGCCCTCAGAAGGGATCTCCAGGACCTTTCTGCGAGCTTTACCTGCTGTACTTCAGCCTTGGTCTGGAACATTGTCCATGAGGTGGAGGCCACCTTTCCCTTCTGTGCTGGGGGTGGGAGGGGGGACTTGCTTTGATCCTGTGTGTGGTTTTGAGCTGACTTCTGTTGCTTTTCTTTCCCAGGTGCTTTCTGCTCCTTTTAAGGGTCACCAGTTGGCAGGCTTTAATTTCATTTTTTTGCAGGCTACACCGGCTCCTTAGTTCCTTTGTTTTAAGTTTCTCTTTGCTCTTCCAAAGAATTTCACTGTTGGCCTCTTCAGAGACCCAAAGATTTTCTGAATTATTGTTGACGTGGTGGAGAGTTCTCAGGGCATGCTTGTGCTCCTGGAACTCAACAAAGGTGTCGCCCAGGGCCTGGCCTTCCCTATTCTCATGGACTCTTAAAAGGTCTCAGTCTTCCTTGCCTGAAGAGCATAGGTAGAGCAACAGAGCTGTGATCCCTCCAGCTATATAGGCAGGCCATCTGTCCCAGTGGGAAGGAACTTGGGCAGAGGCAGCTCCACTCCCTCCCAGTGAACTTCCATCCCACATTGCCAGAACTCCACCCACACACCCCTCCTTAGCTGTTGATAGTCTTCTTGGGTGTAGGTAGAAGTTCTCCATAGACCCTGAACAAAAGGAAAATCTGTGCCATAATCAAGGCCTTTCACTATCACTGAGCTACATCCCCAGCTCTTTTTAAAAGTTTTGATTTTGAAATAATGGTCTTGCAAAGTTGCTCAGGCTTCCCTCAAACTTGTAATCCCTCAGCCTCCAATGCCCGATTAGCTGGAATTACAGGTATGTGCTACTATACCCAGCCACATTGATCACTTTATACTTTTTCATAGGTTTGCTAGGACACTGAAGCATCTAAGAAACTTGGTACTATATATGTGTAGGTTACCTTCATGGATGAATCCTCTTATGGGCCATGTTATAGGAGCAGTACTGAAATACTTTCTGTGGTCATGCATCTATAAGTATTCTGCCCTGTATGATTCATCAAACTTCTGCGAATTATCAAATATAGCCCCCCCCCCGTTTATCTCTATGAAAAGCATTTAGCTCTTGCATTGAGTTTCAGATTTAGGAAAATCAGAATTATTTATTTTAACCATAGTTTGAATGATGAATCTTACATTGCACCAGTCTCATCACTATTACAAAAGAAGTAAGCCTCAATGTTTGGATACAGTGCTCCTTTAAGAAAAAACAGAAGAATTGGCCATGGTGGAATTCAGGCAGTTGCAGAAGAAGGCAACTGGCCTTGCCCTCTTGGTAAGCGCCTCCCTCAGGTGGGCGTGGGCGAGCCAGGAGGAGATCCAGTGGGCAGTTCCTGTGAGCCTGTCTTCCCAGGCTGGAAATCAAACATCCCAACCCCTCCCCCCTGTTAGCAATTGGGGACAGAGGTCTAAACATGACTCGAGAGGATGACCATATGCAATATAGCAACTATAAGGGATTTCTTTCCATCTTCTGTTTGAAGGCAAATGTTTTTTTCAGTTTTGTTTCATCACGATTAATTGTATTACATTAGTCAATATTCTCTTTCGAATGATTTTATAATGTTCTGTTTTTTATTTGATTTAACTATACCTAACTGACTGGACAACTGTTGTGAAGATAACAAGACACACTATGATACCTATTACTGTTATCCCGGTATCCTGCTGTGAAGTTCTGTACCAAGTTCACTGCATTGTCTCGATTGGCTTTGTGTTGTCTTGTTCTGTTGTATTTTTGCTACCTTCAAAATAAAAAAAAAAAAACAGTAAGGAAATTGCCATTGTTTTTTTAACACTAATAAAAACAGTATTTCCAGCATCATCATTTCTTACCAGGCACCTGCCCATGACTTATATGAACTGAATTGTTTCAAGCATTTGAAACCAAAAAGTAAAGGATCTTAGATGTTCACAGAGACAAAAATGATACATTATTTTATCAGGGAATTTTTTAAGTGATTCCTTCCAGGTTCAAAACTATCCTTAAAGCAGAAGTGCATATTTCCAGTCTTAATTTGAATTAAGGCTTCTACAGTCTTCTCTTGAATCTTTCCAGAGTTCCTACAGTTTAAAACTCAAACTTTGATCCACAAGGTTCATGCCTGCTTTCCCAGTAATTCCTGCTTCCCTTGTCTTTCCCTCTAGTACAAGTAAGGCCATCGGTCTTACTCTGAACACTGTATTTATTCCTTTCATAGCATGTTTCAATAACTTAGAATTAATTGGTTTGTTTACTTGTTTTTGTCTATTCACCCCTTATTCAAATGTAAGCATCAGGAGGACAAGATTGTCTATTTTATGCAGTCTTGTATCCAAAGGGACACAGTCCCCAAGCATTAGCTTTAGTTGTTCAGGGATCTCCCTTCTTCAGATGTCTGTTGCTAAATAGAGAGTTGATGGCTATGGTGGTACTGGTCTTTTAGTTCACTAGCAGATGGAAGAGCAGAGCATGTAGTTCCTGTGAAGAGCCTCACTGAGAATTCTTCTGTCATGGACATAAATTTCTAAGGCCATCATTTCAACTACCTGAGCATTCAAGCCCAGAGTTTAGAGCACTTTATTCTGAAAAAGAGAGACCAGATTCCATGTACACCCTGGGAAAAGTGCCTTCAACCAGATTTTCTCTTCTACCAGCACCCATCACGTCTGCTGCTCAGGACATAGCAGTAGCAGACCTAAATGCTCGTACAGACCTAGGGGTCCTGCACACACATGATATCTCTCCTCCCTCTGAGATTCTCAACATTGAGACTACATATAAACATACTGTAGTATACTGTATAGAAATCTGGTTCCTTTGGTGGGTCCTAAATTGGTACTCAGAATAACAATATGAGATGTACAGAAGCATACTGAGAAAAATATTCCACACTCAGGGAAATTTGGTCAAAATGGGTTCAATGAGTTCAATGTTTTTTTAGTAGGTAGGTTTCTCTGAGCATTTGTATTCATACAATGTAAAATTCAGGATAGGAATGTAAGAATGCTGTATTTGCTGGTCTTATTTGACAGTTGAGAGTGTGTGTGTTTGTGATACCTTACATCTTTCAGAACATTTCATGGAGCACCATTTTGAACATTGCTAGCCTAGTGATTATTTTCTTCATTACAGAGGACAGAAAACTGACTTAGCAGAACAAAACTGGATCCTATATCACCTGACTCAAAGAAATGCCCTTCCCTCCACACCACATAGCAACTCAGGTGATAGCACAGGCATTACTGCTTCACAGGTTAGAAAGTGGAAGCTTCAGATCCCCTGGGTAGATATTGCTGGTAGAATTGAGGTAGAAGTCATGTGTCTTCCTCCTAGAGATGACATACGGGCTTCTCTCTCTGAGAGGCCTCGCCAGATGGATTTATTTATCCCTTCAAAGTCAATGCAAACACTTCTGTTTATGGTCTTCTGTACCTCATAGAAGATTCAACTTTTAGCAAATACAGTGTTCATATCTTCTAACACTCACCATAGCAAAGAGTCATCTGCAAACAGATTTGCAAAGCTTCCAGCTGTGGTACATCTTTCATACTCAAAGTTTATTTTTTCTCACCTATCATAACCTTCCCAGTAGGAACAAAGTGTAGGGATCACTGGTTCCTTTGAAAGATCAGTTATATAAGGCAAATGACGGGATGTGGTTGTCTTAAAATATGCAAGAGAGGTGTGGTGGATACTGTAATCCCAGCACCAGGAGGCAGGATGGCCACAAGTTTGAGGCCAGCCTAAATTACACAGCAACGCTGTACAAAAAGAAAGTATCAGAGGAAACAGATTGTAGTTTCCTAGTTCCTTCTTCAGCTACAAGATCCTTTGAACATGAGAACTCCAAAAAGAAAGCCAATTTTTGTCCATACATGTGTGGAACAACTGTTAGGAATTGGCTCCCTGAATTACTTGTTAGTACCCAACCTCCCTGGGCTCCATGCTGCCACCATCCTGACCACTCATATTAGCTTTTAGCACCTCCGAGACTAGGCCGACAGCATCTTGGGAAGTGCCATCACTCTGAGCAGAATTCTGACCTCTCAAGGGCCAGGAGTCCCTTACTGATGATCTGTTAATAAAAACCTTTAGGTAACTTCTTAGAGTTAATTGGAGGCCATACCCTCACATCTCACTTCTTGTCCCTGCATACAGTTTGGAACATAGGAACATTCCATGCTCTAACCTGTCAGGATCAAAGGGGTGCAAGTGGGATGTGGGAAATGTTAGACATAGAGACATGTCTTTGGCAAGGCAGATTGTCTCCTCACATCTATGCTACATTAATTTTCCTGCAATACCACATAACTTACCACTATTCCATTTGTGAAGTTTCAAGAGCACCCTAGTTCTTGTGTGTTTAGTGCTTTAGATTGGCTTCAACTCCCTCCATCAGTTTAACTCATCCTATAGACTCACTTTCACCTTCACTTTTCTTTTTTCTTAGTTCATAGTGTATGTTGAGACAGGCCACTCATATTTTATAAAAATAGATTTTCCTTGGTTGGAAATAGGACTGCAGTGAAGATAAGGAAAATTAAAAATAATTAAGATACAATCAGATGTGGTGGCCCATGCCTGTAATCCCAGCACTCAGGAGGCTGAGACAGGAGGATTGCTACAAGTTCAAAGGCTGCGTAGTCAGAGACTGTCTCAAAAAACAAAAGAAGATGCAATATGTGTCTGTACAATGAATATAATTGTTAAGTATCATAATCATAAACCTATTTTAAAAGAAATTTAAAAGTACTTTAAGGAGCACTTTCATATGCAAACAAAATTAAGTGGAAGGTACATACACCTCCATATCTCCCCACTCATTCTCCCACTAGCAGTATCCTTCGGCTGATTGGTACATTTCTTATCTCTCAAATAGCTTGCTCCTGCCTTCAGATTTAACATAATCAAACAAAACAAAAGAGAATAAAACACAGCCCAACAAAATAATGAAAATGCTATGGTTTCCCCGGTCAGAATCACTTCCTGGAAAGGCCTGGCTCTCTCCCACCCCACTCAGATCCAGAATGCTGCTGACTCGCTGAGAAGGGATTGGGTGTAGTTATCCCCCCTCAGGCAGCAGCAGGCGCATGGCACTGCTTTCTAGGTGGGGATCACCTGGAAAGGCCCGTGGTTCTCTTCCCACAAAGTCCACCAATAGTAAAGACTCACAAAGAGAGGATTGGGTATGGCAGCACCTGGCATACGGCACTGGTTTCCAGGCCGGGAGCACAGTGGTACATTCCTTAACAGTGAACATAAATTGACATTATCATTCAAAGTTCCTAGATTACATAGGAGTGCCCTGGTTATTTTTGGTTATTTTGAGACAGGATCTCATTCTGTAATTCATACTGGTCTTAAACTCATTATGTAACCCAGGCTAGCCTCAAACTCAAAGTGAACTTCATGCCTCAGTCTTTGAGTGCTGGGATTACAGGTGAGTGCTACTATGCCTGGCTAAAGGGCAGTTTCATATCCACTACATATACAACTACTACAGCCTCCTGGAGGACTACTTTGGCATTCTCTGTGTGGACCTGGAGAAGCAGAAGCACTGGAACTGAAGGAGGCTTGCAGAGCTTTGTCCTGGAGCTATGACACTGTGACTGGCCACTTTCGGGCGATTTCACTGGACAAGAGTTGTTGCAGACTCAGTGTGGTGGGCCTGGGACTGCTACTCTTTGTATTTCTCTGATCCTCCTCTGGAGTCAGGTATTGTCCTCTCCTTCTTATGTCAACTCCCCCAGACAGGACAGTTTGAGCAGTTTCAGTATGAATGTATGGTCCCCTCAGAATGAGTGACTGGTGAGGTAAACCTCATACTCGTTGTGCTCATCCTCTTGTGAGTGTAACACCTACAACAGTGGCGGTGAACGGAGGGCACATGCACTGCAGCAGGCATGCAGAGCTGTCAGCCTGCGAGCCAAGTTGTCCTAGAAGCCAACTATTGGTAACAGTTGTTTTTCTCTAAACTAAAACCTCAGCATTCAGGTTTAATTATAGTATCAGCATTTTGCAATAAATGAATGGGCTTAGGATTGCAATTTGGGCACTCAGTATCTAAAAGGTCACCACTACTGTCCTATACTATTTCTTTCACATTCAGAAAGTCATTTTAAAAGTTTCATTTCATTATGCAAGATAGTAGAAGAAGGTGCGAAAAATGGCGGCTGGCTAGGGGATCGAGCGAAGAGTCCCTCCGGAGAATTCATACTAGAAGCTAAAAAAAGACAACATGGAGAGGGCCAGACAAATCGATAGCAATTCTTATTAACCAAGACAGTACAGCTGGAGGATTTAAAGTCGTGCTGAGACCTTGAACGCTGATAACGGGAGGCTGCAAATCCCACGCCTTTAAATCAACAAACTGACCTGTGGACCCAGCAGGAAAAGCTGAGTTGCATTTGGGGACTGCGGGAAACTGAGACCCGGACCGGGACTCCAAGTAGCAGCCAGGTCTGCACCACTGCACCAGAGCGGATGTACAAAGCTCTGGCGTTTCAAATCTAAACGGTGCACAGATATCTGACCGGTCAGCGCTGTGCCGGGAGTGCACGCTGTGCACCGTTCCGCGCTGTACCGGGAGTGCGGGAAAGGTGGACAGCTTGGTGTGCGGTGGTCCCGGAATGAGGACTTGCACCGGACTCTGGTGAGTACCGGGAACCCCGCAGCTGCTGGGGTTGGCCAGAGAACAGCTGGCCCGCCACCACGGGGAAATCAATAACACAGAGTCTGGTGCAGACATATTAGCCTGGCGGCAGAAACTGCAGCTTGGTGACATCACCAGGTCCCCTTGTAGGGAGGGCTGGTGGAAGAAATCTTGAATCCTGGCAGAG